AGGAGTAAGAGTGCAGGAGTGGGCTGAGCGTGCAGGAGGCAGCAGGGGACTGTGTTGCCGACTTGGTGCCGTTCCTGAGGGGCACAGGTGGTGGATCTATGCCATGGGGAAGCACTTCCTGTGGGCATCATCCCCGCCCCATTGGCTGTGATTCCTGGCCAATGGAAGCAATGGTGGGATAGTGCCTGCAGGAAGTACTTCCATGCATTGTGCACAGCCACTTTCTCCTCCCTCCAGCCTGCAGTGGCTGGAGCACCAGTGCCAGCTCATCCTGGGGCAGGGAAGGAGCCAACCAGGAGCCTCATGAGCCAGATGAAAGCAAGCTGCCAGATCTGGCCTGTGGGCCATAGGTGCCACAACCCTGCTTCAGATCACTAGCAACTTCATCTGAACAAGTACCACATGCATTGCAAATGCAACTTCTTTCAAATGGATATCTTGAATAATGCCCTGACATCTATAATGAACTCCCTGAGGGTGCATCTACACTGCACCATTATTTTGAGATGACAAACATTATTTCAAAATAACAATGCGAGCATCTACACAGCCATTCAGTCATTTCAAAATAATGGATGGCTTATTCTGAAATCGGTAAACCTCATTCTATGAGGAATAACAACTATTCCAAAATGGCTATTTCTAAACAAGGCAGCTAAGTCTACACTGGCATGATTTTCCAAAAATGCTTTTAACGGAAAAGTTTTCTGTTAAAAGCATTTTCGGAAAAGCACGTCTAGATTGGCAGGTCGCTTTTCCACAAAAGCACTTTTTGCGGAAAAGTGTACATGGCCAATCTAGACAGTTTTCCTCAAAAAAGCCCCGATCGCCATTTTTGCGATCGGGGCTTTTTTGCAGAAAACACGACTGTGCTGTTTACACTGGCCCTTTTGGGCAAAAGTATTTCGGAAAAGGACTTTTGCCCAAACGGGAGCAGCATAGTATTTCCGGAAACGCACTGACGATCTTACATGAGATTGTCAGTGCTTTTCCGGAAATTCAAGCGGCCAGTGTAGACAGCTGGCAAGTTTTTCTGCAAAATCAAATGATTTTGCGGAAAAACTTGCCAGTCTAGACACAGCCAGCATGTGTAGATGCTCCACTGCTGCTATTTCAAAATAGTCCCTCACCAGGGCCATTTTAAGTTATTCTTCCCCAGTAATTCTTTGGGCTCTAGATCAATATAGCACATCTACATTAGGGAAGTCTGCCTCGGACTAATTTTGAGCCTATCCTGTAGTGTAGATGTGCTATTTCAAAATAAGCTATTTTAGATAACTATTCCGGAATAGCTTATTTCAAAATAAGTGGTGAAGACATACCCTGAAAGACAAATGGCCTTTGGCAATCACTTAATACCTTTACATATTTTTCTTCTGAAGAAGATGTAACTTGTGTCTTAACCCTTCATCTTTCATATATTTTTTCTGGCATTCTGATTGATCTGTGTTTAGTCACTCCACTGTCAGCCAGCCTTTTTGTTCATTCACTGCATGGATGCTATCTGTCATTCAATGTTGTTGAGGCTGCTGTCTGATGCTTACTTTTCTGGAGTTACAAGGCTTAGGGAAAAAAACTCTATCTTTAGTGACGACAAAGATTATCTTGGTGCAATATATTTTTCTAATTGCATTTGTGAGGATAAAGCTTGTGGATTTTGTTTTTGTTTTTTATTTCCTAGAAACTGAGTTGATACACAGTCTGATGATGCTTGTATTGATTTTTGTTTTTGTTGTTGGTTGTGGGTGTTTATTTATAACTTAACTTTTTTGGGTGGAGGGCAGTGTATTAAATTTATATTGAACAAGCATCATTAAACTTGCGTAGGAAGGAATAAAATTTCTGTTATGGCTTTGATGTCAGATATAATTAACTTTTGCTGCGGATTTATTTTTGCCACTGAAACTTATTTCCAAATGAAATTCTGGGCACAACAGAAGCTATAAAAGAGTTATGGGCTGATGGATAATGGGAGGTCATGGGGTGGAAAGTGTAAAAAATAGTTACTTTGTAATGCAGGGTTTTTTTTGGGGGGGGGGGGAAGTACCCCGGGCCCAGGTAACTCTCAGGAAAGCCCTTTCTTTTCCTCTGTACTTTCACACATTTACCTTTTCACTATTTTAGCAACCACTTCTAGTTGATGACCGGCCTAGTCTGCCTCTCTCCCATCCTCTCTAATTTCTGCCACTCAGCCATCCCTCGTGAGTATCTCACAATGTTTCTGAAATAACTCAGAATTAAGCTTCTAGAAATGTAAGTCAGTTTCTGGGAGCAGGGTCCAGGTTCCCCAGGTTCTCAGTTCCTCCATCCCACTCCCCACAGGAAGCCTGGCAGCCTTGTCAAGTTCACAGCTTTCCAAGCTGTGAAACTGACAAGTTTGCCTGCAGAGGTGCTGACTCTCTCTCTCTAACATGCCAGGTGTTGCGCCCCACTGGCTCTGCTCCAGGCCTTACCCCATTCCCTCCCTTCTCCCTGCCCCACCTCTTCCCAACTCATTCCACCCCCACCCTTAAGCAAGCCCCACACTTACTCCTTCCCCACCCTCCACTTAGCACCCCCTATATGCCAAGAAACAGCTGAGGTGCAGCATTCAGGAGGAACTAGGGTGCTGATCAACTGGGTGACTAGCAAATAGGAGGGTCTAGAGAGGAAGGGGAAACTGCACCACTATGTTTGTGTGTAGATGCACCAGCCCTGGAGCACTCACTGAGTCAGTGCCTATGGTTGCCTGGCTTCTAGTGGGCATCAGATTGGAGGAGAGGTAAGCCACTTTGGCTTCTTGTCCTGGCTTCCAGCTGGAAGCAAGGGGTGGGTGGGTGAAGGGAGATAAGCCTTGTTCATATTTAGTATCAAGACAAGAGATGATCAATCTCCTCCTCTTCCTTTTCTGGCAGCCTTCTTGTGTCCGTTCTTTCCAAACTGCCACAGCTAATATTTTCCAGAACTGCTCTTCTAATCTATGTCACCCCATCTTTTAAAAGTCTTTCCCCCCCATCTTTTTTTTTACGTTACTGTTATCTTACAGCATCAGAAATTTCCAAATATATTTTTTTCTCATTAGCCTCATTAAATGGAGTAAGATAAAGACCAGATTCCCTTCCAGAGTGGTACACACTGCAGTTGGAGTTCACTTAATCTCAGGGTGCATTGGTTTGGTGTCTCTAAGGGTACGTCTAGACTACAGGCTTTTGTCGACAGAATTTTTGTCAACAAAGCTTCTGTTGAAAAAGAGCATCTAGACTACATCCAGTTCTGTCAACGAAGCAAGCCGCTTTGTCGACATGACAGTGTAGATGCAAAGGACAGTGTAGATGCAATAACACCTTCTGTCGACAGAACTCTGTCGACAAAAGGTGTTATTCCTTGTAGAATGAGGTTTACAGCTGTCGACAAAACTGCTGAGTTCTGTCGACGTTATGTCGACAGAACTCAGCGGCAGTGGAGACACAGGGATAGTTTTGTTGACAAAAGTCCACTTTTGTCGACAAAACCCTGTAGTCTAGACACACCCTAATTTAGGTCAGTTCGGTTGGTTGCTACATAGTGAGGGTAGGTTGAGCAATGACCTTATTCTTATTTGCAGTGCCTGTGATTTCAAATCCTGAGTGCTCAGCATTGGTTTAACACTGTTCCCACTGACGTAAAT